GCAAAAGTCCCGCCACGAAGTTACACCCAGCTCATGTAGTTACTGTAATATTTTTGAATCATTATTTTAGACAGTACATGTATCCTTGTAAAATGTGGTTCTACTTATTAAAATAAACTAATTAAGAAATAAATGATGTACCATGACACCATCTGCTTTGTTCGTCTGGGAGTGACCTCTTTCATACCACAGCATCGTATATCTCATGATTTCTGCATCTCAAATTCATCAGGAAGCTATGTCATGGGCTAGTAAGATGGCTTAGCAGATGGAGATGCCTGCTGGCCAGGTGACCTGAGTTTGATCTCTGGGACACACATGGTGGAAGGAGAGAAACAATTCCAGCAAGTTGTCCATATGTGCAAGGTGGTACATAAATATATGAGCATTCATGTGCCCATAAAATAAATTAGAATGTAATAAAAAGTTTAAAATGCATAAAAGAAGCCAAGGCAAGTGGCTGACCTATACTTCTGTATAGGTGACCCAGGCTTATGTAAGTCTATTGTGTAACATTTGCACAGTAACAAAGAAGCTTAATGATATATTTTGAAGGATGCATCCTGTTACTAAGCGTTGCTATGTACTTGGTCCTTATAATAACACCATAAAACAACTGTCATTGTTATTGTTAATTTAGAAATGACAAAATTCAACCAGCAAAAATTAAGAGTTTGTTTGGGTTTAAGACAAATCTGTTGTCTACTTGGTCACCAGAACCTGTTCTATCTTCCTGGGCACATAGTTAAACTGTGTTTTCAGACTCACTTGTAAAGTGGGACCAAGTAAGATTGAATTCCAGCTGATTGAATATGAGCAAACATTCTATTTCCAATCCATTAAACCCTTATGCCTGTCTACATATATCTGCCCTTCTGGTGTCTCTAGATACACATGTTGAAAAAATGGTTGCCTCTTCATTAATTTGGGCTTCGAGCTAAAGGAAGGTGTACCTGGTTATTCACTTGTCCAAAAATGTCACTTAAGCAAGAAACAAACTTTTATCATGTGTGAAATGATGGAAACCTTTATGTCTTTTTAAGTCATAGTATGTGTGTGTGTGTATATATATATATATATATATTATATATATATATATATGTGTGTGTGTGTGTGTGTGCGTGTGTATACATACAGGCTGGTGAGATGGCTCAGCAGTTAAGAATACTGGCTGCTCTTCCATATGTGCTGAGTTCAATTCCCAGCAACCATATGGTGGCTCACAAACACCTATAAGAGGATCTGATGCTATCTTCTGGCCTGTGGATTTGTGTGCAAAGGAGCACTCATACATTAAATAAATAAATAAATAAATAAATAAAGGAATGTGTGTGTGTGTGTGTATACAAATATGCAGAAATGTAGCTGCCCATATAGTTGGCTCACATTCTTTCCCTCAAGAGGCTTGATCTAAGTTTGTTCTTGAATCTGTTGATCTCTAACTGTCATGGAGTAGTGGGAAACATGAAGCAATGTAACATCTAGGGTCAGTTCATAAAATGCCATGAAGCTCTGCCTTACTTGCTGAGAACATTAGTATATAAATGATGCATATATTGATTAGAACAATTAATTAATTGGAAAGAATTGATCTAGGTTGCAAGTGATAGAAACCCAGCTCAGACTTGTTTGAACATATTGGCTTACATTACTGAAGAGTTCATGGGCAGATGTAAAAAGAGCTAGATGCTGAAAATCTGGAACTTGATCTGTTCCTCTTTGGGTACTACACTCATCTGTAATCATCCACTCATTCTCTTGCTGGTTGTCCCTGTAAAGTATAAGATGACTACCAGCAATCTCAATCTTATTACCAACTGTATTAGTCTCCAAGTAGAAACAGCCTTGTTTCCCAATTATTCAACTTTCTAGGAACAACTTTCTAGGAAGTTCTAGGAACAACTTTCACTGAACAAAATTGAACACTGAGAGACACAAACAAGAAGACACACACAGACACACAGATATACACACACAGGAAGACACACACATAGTACATGCACAAATGTATACACAGAGAGAAACACACAAATACACACATGCAGTCAACACACACACACACACACACACACACACACACACACACACACACACACAC